TAGAAAATAAAAGTTTGCATCTTTAGGAAGATGTCACAAATCTGCCAGAAAATAAACAATAGAACAGTGTTTTGGGAATTAAAAAATGTTTACATTTAAATGTCATCCAACATTTTACTAATTAAAGCAAACTCAGGACAATGGTAGAACTCAATATATGAGGAATGTGTAAATGATGTCTGAGACGTAAGCTAACTTTATTGTCTTTGTCCTTCTATTCATAATTATAACAGAACCACAAAACTGATCCAGCTGAAGCACAGTGAGCCACAATAAAAAAAAGATACAGTTTATTTCAAAAAACAAATCCTAAGTGACTTAAAGTGACTTAAAAAGGTACATGATTACTAATCAGTTCAACCTAGAGCCTTAAACATGTCAGCAGGAAGAATTTCTGAAGTTTACATAGAAAAAAAAAAGGTTCAAACCATGAAAATTATCAGGAATATATCTTGAACTTTTCACAGAGACCAAAACGTGCAACAATATTGATTGGTTACAAATTATTCACCAATTTAAGATCTCCAATCATGTTTTTTATTAGTCCCAAATCCTAAAGTAAACATGCAAACTTTAACATCTGAAGCCTCTTTACCACTGAAAATAGCGGTTTAATGGCGGAGCATATTTTATTGATGTTAAGTTGTGTGGATTTGTTAGATCAGACGCGACTGGCGCGCTGTGATGGTGTCTGTACGTTGTGTTTAATGGAGCCTAGGCGGAAATTAAACTGAATAAACTGATTATTCGCCTTCTTTCACCTTTGACACAGCCAATCAGCTTTGAACCACGCCTCCACGAAAGCCAATCATCATCAAAAGTTCATCTTAAAACGCCTCCGTTCCGCAACTTGTCTGCTACCTAGTGCGGAGGCGGTGGATTCGCTGTGTGACTTCATTCAGATGACACCGTTTCAACCCCCCTCCAGCCCCTCCTCCACCATCGTAGCTAAAGCTACATCAGAGTCTCATTACTCCAGGACTCTTACTGCATTCCACGTCTCATTTCAACCGCTTCGGCAGATTACCGCCATGTTGAGCCTGGTTCTGCCAGAGGTTTCTTCCCAATAGGGAGTTTTTCCTCTCCACTGTTGCTTCATGCTTGCTCATCACGGACAGGTTCCCTTAACCTGTGTTATCCAACTGGACTTCCATCTTCCAGGTCCCTGAGTGAAGCTCCAGTATCAGCTCTCACAGTCCACTGGATCTCCTCATAAAACTCAGCAGACCGTCTCTCTAACCAGCAGTCTACAGACTGACCAACTTCCTCTATCTCCACTCCACCAGCAGTTTTAGGCCTGGAGGGAAACAGCCTTATTCTTTACTCTTGTTCATGGAAATCTGAGCGCCAAAGACAAAGTAATTGTATCAATAAATTTCTCCTAATCGTCTTTTCTCTTCATGTGAGTTTTTCAGATTGAAATGGTATCACGTAAATTAGCGGGTAAATCTGGGTCTGATGTTCCCACAGCATGCCGATCAGAGCAGAGGAGATTTTAACGGGTCGCTTGCCGAGTCGCTTGACCCGGGTAGACACGCGTCAGTGAGCTGTTACCACTCCCACTAAAAGCCCATTGTTCCCAGGTTTATACAGGTTTTTATGTCAAAGGGATATAAGTAAACAGTCTTAGGAAAAAAAAAAAAAACATTTGTGGGATGCAAGTTGCTCACAAATGATCTAAATATCTATTTTCTGATTTCCTGCAGAGCTGAGCTGCGACCATTTCATTTGCGTACAGGCAACCCTAAATATTACCAGATTGACCAAATTTAATGTTAAAGAGAGCACTAAATCTAAACCAATAAGAATGATAACGATTCTGGTGATGGGATGACAGAGTTTACAACCTTCATATTTTATTACTGCTCTGTACCTGATCTGTACAGGAAGTATCATCCATAGCAAATTTCCTGCAGGGCCTTTCTTTTGGACTTTTATTTTGAAAATAATTGTGGTTTTATGTTTGGATTTCACTGTACTTGTAAAGCATATAGTACAGAATATAAATTCTGACATACGGTAACTAAATAAAGACATTATTAAAACTGTTCTGATATTTCCAGTAAAAAATAACTGATATTAATTGCCTCCATTCTCTCAGCTTTTCATATGCTTTTATTAAAAGGATAGAAATAAGTGCCCTCTGTACAGTAAAACAGTTTTTCGATATGCTTCTGTCTCCTTGAACCCCAGTCAGCCTCAGCAGATGGCCGCTCACACTGAGCCTGGTTCTGCTGGAGGTTTCTTCCTGTTCAAAGGGAGTTTTTCCTCTCCACTGTCGCTACAAGCATGCTTAGTGTGAGGGATTGCAGAAGAGTCAATGAGTCAATGCAAACAACTGGTTTTCCTTAGATAGAAAACTTTGAATCAATTTGACTGTGTGATCTGGTTGAACTGTAAAGTGCCTTGAGATGACATGTGTTGTGAATTTGACGCTATATAATAAACTGAATTGAAATTGAATTGAATATGTTTGTGGTTGCACATGTGCAAATGACCTGACGGTACTTGCAGCCCAGATCGGGTTGTGAAAGTTAGAAATATTTTAGACTTTATCATAAACGACACAAATATTTCGCAAAACATACATTGTTATTTTATTTGTAACTTCCATTCATTAGAAAAGTTTTTTGTGTCAAAGAAAAAAGCTTTTCAAACTGAATTTTTTTAACAATTTACAATTTAAAGCCAAGAAATTAACCTTAGATAAAAAAAAAAGTTATATGACAGCATTTATCATTATAAAATGAATTGTATAAATATATATTCACCTGGTTTAGTAAAACCAGGCTAATATGAAGTTTCTTTATCACTGCTAGCATGAGTTTTATTCAGCAAATCTGTTTTTAATACAAAGTATTTGCTGCTGCCTCGTTTTGAAAGTTATGTTTCTGTTTCCTTTGGTTAAAAAAAAGTGTTGCTGCAGCACTGGAAGCTCCCTGCTTTCTGCACTAATGCCCCGAAAATGATCTACTTCTTTATATTTTGGCAAGCATGAACCTATCAAACATAAATGATATGAAAATCTACTGAACCGGTTAGTTTAGCTGACATGTTATACAGTGTAGCTAAGGTGACATGCCCTATATGTTTTCTAACTTGCACAGTGTCAATGACAGTGATTGGACACCTTGTCGATTGTTCTGATACTCCAGCATTTCTGTCGGGGAGTAAAATAAATTAGATGCTCGTTGAACTGCCCTGCAGTTGCAATGTGACCGCTGGTGATGAAACTGAAAGCTTAAAATACACACAACTCTACCAAAGTACAGTATCAGCAATGTGTTACAAAAAATAAAAATAAACAAAATAACCTGAATCTGATTTCTGGATGCTGCATTACATCAGTTTCAGTCTCCAGATGCTTATAGAACAAACACACACTGTAGTTGTGTAACTGCAAATGTGTGAAGATACAAAAAAAAAAAAAAAAAAGAATGAAAATCAAGCATACAAAATGTCATATTCCCTCTATCTTTACTCTAAAATCCAAACTTCCAACATCTCAATGAACATAAAATTTCAACTACTTAGTATGAAATCAAATTTCTCTCTAACTTTGTTACCAAAATCTGGACCACAATCGAGAACAAACTCTGCATATTTGTGCGAATAAATCACTGCAATCTTATGTATTGAGATAAATGTCTAAATAATGTGCATTAAGTTAATAAACCTGAATTAAGTTTAAATTTTAATGTGATTCTTGTCATCAACTAAAATACAAACACCAGATGTTTCATCTGTGAGAAAACAAGCTTTAAATTTACAAACATACTACAGTATAAGTCACTTATTTACTAGCTAAATCTACATTGGCTCATGAAGCATTTACACTCCTTACCAGTAGGAGGCAGTATTGTACCTGAAAATTGTTTACAGACTGCCTTTAAAGGTGAAAATGCGGAAAAAGACAAAAACAGAACCATTGAGTGGACGTTCTACTGCACATGACATAAACATTTCGGAGAAGAATTAGGCTGTGTCTGAACATCCCCACCACTGGTTACGCCATTTTAAATGAGTGTCCGAATGTCTGCGCGATGAAACAGTAGCGGACTTAAAATTGAAAAGTAGTGATCACCCTTGGTCACTAAACGAGCATCCCGAGAGCTCTCCTCGAAAAGCATCATGAGATTTATTGCGGTGGAGATTCATATAAAAGATGGTGTAGGCAACATGCGGGGAGGCAGATGACTAACGGGGTGTGAAAAGTAATGATGACCTGTCCGAACAGTAAGTTAACTGAGTTTGTGGCGTGCACGTAGAACAGTGGTTAGCGCGCACAACACACGTACGGAGGCCTTAGTCCAGAAAAAGAAGCCACCAGTGCTGTAAAAAACAAAAAACTGAGTTCGCTATAAAGTCCACTATATAATCACTGCTCTATATAGTGATGGTTAGGATGGACGTTCAGACATAGCTATAACGTTAAATAATGCCGTTTCTCAATATGTCTACTTTTGAGTTCTCGTGCTCGTGTACACGAAAAACGTCATCAGCCTCAGCCCTAGTACTGTTCCAATTCAGAAGATCACAAGACTGAAAATGGACAAAGTCCCCAGATGTTGTTCTGGCCCCTCCCTCTTTACCCAGCATGCATCAGAGCAGACTTGTGCATTCTTGAGACTGACAGCTGTCCCAGCATGCACTGCAACAGCAGCAGCTTCCAGGTTAGCGCTCACAGAGCTCAGAGTATTAAGTTAAAAGTTCACTTTTCTGTTGCCGTTGTTCAATAAAAGTAACTTTTAAGATCATTTGAGAACATTATACTTTTAAGCTTCACTATACTATACCCATTTAATGATTTAATGCATAATAATAAAAAAAAAGGTCAGATGTTGAGAGGACTGCGGCAACCAGCGGAGGGTAACGGGAGCCAGGGCTAACGTTAGCCCGTCTGCATCAGCGGGGCTAACGTTAGCCGGTCTGCATCAGCGAGGCTAACGTTAGCCCGTCTGCATCAGCGAGGCTAACGTTAGCCCGTCTGCAGCAGCCGCGGCTAATGTTAGCCCGTCTGCAGCGGCCCTCCTTCTGCATAGCCATGTGTGAAGTATCGCTCGCTCTGATGGAGAGTTTTTTGTTTTATTTGGCAAAATGTTCATTTGATTTGCGTTAATCTGACTATGTTTATTATTCTTCCCCCACTACATGAAAAAAGTCAATTCATTATTATCTAGAGACCAATACTAACAGGAGGTGAAATGCAGCCCCAGATGACATCACCACACCAGCGTGTGGTGATGTCATCAGTAAACTTCTGTTCCAATTGACCCATATTTATGCTGCGTGCTACCGTTCTCCCTAAACCAGACTTTCCTGTGTTCTGCTCAAGAATACACTTGGCGAGGACACAGGCCTGTACTTGCATTCTTGTGAATTGACAAACAGCCGTAGACTGTGTCCAAACATCCCCATTGGCGGTCACGCCATTTTAGGTGAGTGTCCGAATGTCTAGTGGATGAAAAAGTAGTGGACTTAGAATTTCCCACAATTCACCTTGAAAAGTAGTGATCACCCATGGTTACTAGATGATCAGAAACATCCCAGATCGCTTTGCGAGAGCTCTCCTCGCAAAGCATCATGGGAGTTGTTGTGGTGGCAGGGAGGTGGAGTTACGTGACCAACGGGGAGTGAAAAGTAGAGATCTTCTGTCCACTATATTATTCCACTATATAATACCTGCTCTATATATTAATGGAGGGATTTAGGGGTTAGGGCGGACATTTTTTTATCTTTTCATCTTCTTCTTGTCATAATCATTGGCGAACAACCTGCAGGTGTTATACTGCCACCAACTGGTGAGGAGTTTTACAGCTTAGTCTGGGTTTGTAGATTCATACTCATGAAATTTGTTATTCTTAGTCATAGTTTTTTTTTTCTAAGTTGTAACTTTGAAACATGTATTTGTAACTTCAAAACTTGGATTTTCACAGATGAAACATCTGATGCCACGTGTATGTATGAGCTGACACAAGAAACAAATACGAATATTAAATCTATCCATGTTTAGTGACTAACAATTTCAAATTCAGACACCTATATACATTTTTATCTTACCTCATAAAATGTGCTGATTTTAGTAGCAATTAATGAGGAGAACTCGCATATAGAAAAAACCTTCTGTTTACCAAACGGCAATGTGAAATAAACCCATAAAAATACACTGCCTTATAGAGATGTTCTAACTTCCCCTATGTTTTACCGTCTTGCTACCATGTTGTCTGTTTCCCTTTTGCACCCATAAACAACTTGGTAAACAGTGATGAATCTAAACTATTGTTTAAGTTCTCACTTTGTTTTAAAATGACCTTCATTTGACCTTCAGTTATAGATTTCTATACCTAACTGTATATTTCTATTCCCTCTCTCATTAAGCTGCACTGCTTGGTCAGTGCGAAGCTTCTTGTGACATTTGACCAAAACTGCAAAGATTCACAATAAGAATGGGGCAAAAATAACCTGCAACCACATAATTCAGTAGTTGATAAAGAAAGAAATAAATGTAAATATCTTTAGATGCTCTTCAGTGGACATCCCTTTGTGTCTCTGCCTTGCTGTCCAGCAACAATCCTTCAAGATCTGATAAATGGTAATATGTGATCTACGTGAGATAGAATGTCAAGTTAAACTTTGCTTTAGCTTTAAACATTTACAAAAACCATTCAATCCAAACATGTTCCTCATCTGTAGTTAGGGATTTAATCAGGTGAGATGGAAGAACATGTCACATGACTAAGATTGTGAGCTTAGAGCTCAACTTGAGACTCTATCCCATCCAACAGCAGGAGCACACGTGTCTGAGGTTCGGCATGCATCTATTCTTTGCTATGAGGCAGGAGCATATTTGGCAGCAGGACCTGCGGCTTCAAGATAAAACACACGCTCAGGGTAGCAATATCAATGTGATATCAGGGTGGACAGGATTGGGGGGGTGGAGGAGGTCTGTCCACATGTTTCAGGGTTGAAGGGCGGGTGGAGGGCGGGCCGGTGGAGGACAGGGTGGACCTGGTGGCGTGCGGGATGGCGGTGGTCCTGGAGGCACCTGGCCTGATGGTGCTGGTCTGGTGGGTGGGCTGGTTGGAGATGGTGAGGTGGGGCGGGTAATGGGATGGTAGTCGGGGGGAGGCGGTGAGGGCACATGGATCGGGGAACGGGGCGGAGCCTTGGTTGCAGAGTCATCTTTTACTCTTGTAAAGTTGATACATCGACCCTGCATGGAGAGAAAGAAACGCTTAATGGCAGCCCAAGTGGTAAGAGAGGAAACCCTAAACAGCAGCGGCCATGATCAGCAGCAAGAGGAAGGTCATCAAAGGGAAGGCAGGTGTGGTGCTGAGCTCTGAACACCGCAGCATAGTATTAACCATTTTTATACTTCTCTACCTTAACAGGGAGCAACAAAAAAGTCATCAGTGGAAGAAAAGCCAAACCAAGGCTTGCATCCAGGAACACAACCACCTAAAACCTTTAAATGAGAGTTTTTATGGACAAAATTCCAGTCTTTCTTCCTTTGATACATATTGCCAAATAGCTAGCCCATCATTTTATAAATAATATTTCATCAGCCTGTGTAGGATTGTATAATGTTAGGTGAATAGTTTGATTTAAAATACTTTATTAATCATAAAGCTAAAATTAAATAACATATGAACTGGTAATTTTTGGTTTATTTAGGGTTTGGGCTTAGCACTGCTTAATAGTAAAAAAAAGTATGTAGTTGGCTCTAAATCAAATTATAAGCCTCATGGAAGCAACTTTACGTTGATGCAAGGAAGAATCGAGCTAAAATGCTAACCCTGCTGAATGAAACATTCAAACGCTATCCTGCTAACAGCTGAGACGAGGCCGCAGCCAGAGCAAAGGCAACAGAAGCCTCTACAGCAGATCCCTATTGCCAATAACACAGGCTTTAAATACAATCTGTACATTGCAGATTTTACAGCAGCTTTACATAAGCTTGTACAAGTTGACCTGGACTTACACTAAAGCTTCTGTTATTGCACCCATACTATAGAAAGCAATGTTAATCTGGAAAAAAGAACACAACATAGAAGGTACTGAACAGAGGTGGAGAAAAGATGTGAAAAAAACAAGCAAAAAAAAAAAGGTGAATATTTCTGTACCTGTATTTTAAAGTTATTTAAATGGTTGGAGTAAAAACAGATCTAAAACTGTTTAATTGACTGTGGTAACAGAAAACTCTATTGTCCTTTAATAGAGACCATTTAACTTGATTTCCAAGATGTACCACCAGTTCTACCCAAAGCCATGGTTCCAGTATACTGCAGTGATGGGTAGTAACTAGATACATTTATACAATTACATTTACTTCAGTACCTTTACTTTAAAGACTACAGAATTGTATTTATTTTTTTCGTGTTTTTACGGCTCTAGCGGCTGGGATGTTTGGACAGTAGACTGACAGGAAAGGGGGTATGAGACACATGCGGCAAAGGACCACAGGTCGGATTCGAATCCCGGGTCGGCTGCGTTGAGGACTAAAGGCTGATTTATACTCAGAAACCAGGTCGTCTGCGTCGCAGTGACAGTGAACAAA